TTCCTGGGGCTGCCATAACTAAGGACCACAAACTGCGTGGCTTAAACAAGAGAAATTGATGGTCTCATAATTCTGGAGGCTAGGGGTCTGAGATCAAGGTGTTGGCAGGGTTGGTTCCTTCTGAGGGCCATAAGGGGAGGATCTGACTCTTTGACTTGAAGATGGTTTTTCCCTGTGTCTTCCCTCTGTACGTGCTGTGTCCTAATCTCCTCTTTTTATAAAGACACCAATCATGTTGGATTAGGGCCCACTCTAATGACCTCACTTTACCTTAATTACCTCTTTAAAAACCCCGTCTTCAGATACAGTTACATTCTCAGGCACTGAGGTTTAGGACTTCAACGTATGAACATCTGGGGGGCACAATTCAGTCCATAACAGCTGATAAGAATTCCCTTAGCCCAAACCCGAAACACACTTGACTCACTCCCTCTAGAAGCTTTTACTAACTGCCCGACACTGCACTAGTGATTTCCTCCATTCTCAGAACCACCACAGGAAATTACCCAGGGCTCCCAGCACTTCACATTTGTGTGTGTGCATGTGTGTGTGTGTGTGTGTGTGTGTGTGTGTGTGTGTGTGTGTGTGTGTGTGTGTACAGGTCTTCTGGCAACTACTGGAGAACAGGAGCTTCCTTCTTCTTCAAGATGCTTCCTCATGCCTTGTATGGTACTGAGCACATAGTAGGGGTTTTATAAATGCTGAATGTTCAGCTGGCCACTGATACCAACGTTTTATTTGACACTGAGAACAGCGGTTTAATTAGAAACGTTGGAAACCCATCCCCTCCCTCTGAAGGACCAACGCAAGCAAACGATGCAGCCCAACGGAAGGTTGTCAGAGTCCAGGGCCACTGGGACTGGGAAGAACACAGAGAATGTGAAGCCAACCCCACCATTCACAGCGCTGAGAGTGGATGAGGCACATCTGAGACCACAGCCGGACAGTGGCAGAAGCAGAAGCAGGAACCGGTTCTCCTGACTCCCAAGCCACTCCCCTGTCCACCACAAGCACCACCTCTGTCCCCAAGACAGGTCTAGATGACTAGAACGCTCTGCCCCAGCCCCTTGAGCTGATTACACACAGATCCACACACCCAAACATAGCAAGCTTTCTTTTACCTAGAAAAAAAGGCGGGGCAGGGGAGTACTCTGGCTCATTGAGAGTAACCACTTAAATCATAGAAAGATTATCAACTTTCAAAGAATTGTATAGACTAGAAGGGAAGATTCCTGGTACTAAATGGCACTGGGCAGACCTACCCTTTCTATTATTTTTTGGCCATGAGGTGCAGCTTGTGGGATCTGAATTCCTCGACCAGGGATTGAACATGGGCCACGGCAGTGAAAGCGTGGAGCTCTTACCACTGGACCTCCAGGGAATTCCCAGACTGACCCTATATTTGATGATGGCCCTGGTGCTGGCAGGATCTCAGGTCACCATTCTGAGCATCCTCCCAGCAGCCTGTCCTCTCTGCCATCTGTGAGATTGGATCAACTCCATGGTGGGTCCCCTGGAAGCTGAGTTCTACAGTAAATTTCAAATTTCAACATGTTTACTTTATTTCTTTTTTCCCTCAAGCTGAGAGCAGAACAAAGTCCCACCCCAGTTTGCTTGTTTACCATCTTTGCACTATTCTACCATTTTATTAACCATTTTGCACAATCCCATCCTCCACACCACCTCCAAAATATGCTTTCTAGAGCATAAATCACACCATTTCAGTCCCTCCCTCCAATCATGTAATCCTTCACCCCACCCACCCCCATCATCACCTCTGAGGATAAACCACAAACTTCTTAGAAGAGCGTGGAAGTCTTTCCTGATATGGCCCCACCTCTCTCTTCATACACATCCTTTCACTAGGATGCCTTTAGCCACAAAGTACAGAAAACTCAACTAAAATGGATTTAAATATAACCAGCCTTGTTATCTCCTCTAACTAGAAGTCCAGAGGTGGGAGGCTGCAGAGCTGCTCAGCTCAGAGGTTCGCAGCCTCCCTGAGGGCTGACGGCCTTGTCCTGATCTCTGTTCTGTCCTCCTCATGGGGGCTACGTGATGTCTTCTCATCTAGTCACTCAACAAATATCTACTGAGCAACTTAGAAGTACCAGGCATGGGGGATACAGTAGTGAACAAAACCAGACACTGTTACTCTCATTTTGTCCCTATTTCTGTTACAGTACTGGACATATTTATTATGTTTTGTGGAGTGTGTGATATTAGGCACCTCTCTGAGCCTCAGTTTCCTCCTGTATAAAAGGGGATGATAATGTCCAGCTCAGTGTTATAAGATTTAGCGATCATGTACCATATAGAACCCAGGATGTGCCCAATTTATAATTGATGAACAAGAAATGGTAATTTTACAGATTTATTTTCCCCAAATGAAGAGTAATTTTCTTGTGTGTTCCTCAGTAGCCTGGAGGAATATTTTCAAATGCACAAAATAAAATACATGGGATAAGAAAGGAAACAAATTATATTGAAAGACAGTTACCAAAATACTTTTAAATATATGTAACATAGAAATATACACTCTTTAATAATAATTAAATAACATAATATAGTGTCAGATCTAATATTATTTTAAAGTAGTGATGAGTGTTAATGCTATTTCAAGACACCTACAACTGCTACTATAACGCCATGTGAAAATGTCTGTGATTTTTATCTTCCAAAAAGTCCCAGGTGCTATTAGTGTTAATTGGTTTGTTGCCAACATTTATATTTTAAAGAGGTGCTAAATTTCAGGTACAGGCCAGGGAAAATAAAGATGTAGTTTTTTCCCATCTGGTTCTCAAACCTCCAGAATTCTATCCATGGACCTTTGGGAGTTAAAAGACCTCAAATTAAAAACCTGCCCCTGGAGTTGGGGAAGAGATAGTCTATTTTCCCCAAGCCGTAAAAATAGTATCCAATAAGGCCTCAATATCTTAAAGGCTTAATAAGTATATATTTTGTTCTCTCCATAAACTTTCATATATATATATATATATATATATATATATATATATACACATACATATATACATGTATATATATATATATATATACACACATACATATATACATGTATATATATCAGAAAATGGAGTCTGGTAGGGCTTTAGACAAGTTCTTCCTATCTGTGGCAGTGGCTGTGTATATCTAATTTCTTTCCTGTTCCAAGCTTGGAAAGATGGCTGCTTGAAATGTGCAGGAAATTACCCAGACTGCAATGGTTAATTACTAAGAGAATCCCTAAAACTCCTTTCCTTGGGTCAAGCCTGTAATGGGAAGTATTACTGTGTAAAATGAGAGAGTCTCAGAGTCCTCAAGCTGCCCATCTGATTAGCTGTGTGACCTTGGCTAAGTCAACTCTCCTCTCTGAGCCTGTTCATTCATCTGTAAAAAGCAAGGGTTGGGGGAGATAATGTTTGTCAAACAGGGATCCAGACATGTATTCTTTTTTTAATTTTATTTATTTTTTTAATTGACATATAGTTGATTTACCAATATTATATTAGTTTCAGGTACACAGCATAGTGATTCAGTATTTTTACAGATTATACTCCATTAAAAGTTATTATAAGATAATGACCATAATTCCCTGTGCTATACAATTTATCCTTATCGTGCATCTATTTTATACATAGTAGTTTGTATCTCTTAATCCCATACCCCTAACTTCCTCCTTCCCCCCTTCCCTCTCCCCTTTGGTAACCACTAGTTTGTTCTCTAGTTCTGTGAGTCTGTTTCTGTTTTGCATATACATTAGTTTGTATTAGTTTTTAGATTCCACATATAAGTAATATCATACAGTAAGTACTCTTGCTGTTTAAGAATTCTTAATCAATGGTGTATTTGTGTGTGTGATTTCATTTGATAATTTTTTAAAGACATTTTCTGCATCATCTGCCAGCCACCTTAAAAGTAAGTCATCACGGGCTTCCCTGGTGGCGCAGTGGCTGAGAGTCCGCCTGCTGATGCAGGGGAGGCGGTTCGTGCCCCGGTCTGGGAAGATCCCACATGCCGCGGAGCGGCTGAGCCCGTGAGCCATGGCCGCTGAGCCTGCGCGTCCGGAGCCTGTGCTCCGCAACGGGAGAGGCCACAACAGTGAGAGGCCCGCGTACCATAAAAAAAAAAAAAAAAAAAAAGTAAGTCATCACATAATTTCAGTGTCTGCATTTGTACCTGTATTTACAATTGCAAGCAACAATACCATCTCAATTGTCACAAGCCAGTAAGGAGAGGCAGACAGATGTGGCAAATATATGATGAGCTGGTGCCACGTAAAGGTTATACGACATCACAACGTGCTGTGCTTGGGATGTTTCCCGGTGGTTAATGTATGAAAAGTGATGAAGGAGCAAAGTTATTCCACCACAAAAGGAAAGTAAATACGCTAAACAAGCCACAACAGCGAAAATCCTGTCTGAGGAGTGCAGTGCCACTGTCACAGGGCACCAGAAATTTGAGTGCAGTACACGATGGATTACACACATTAATGAGATTACTCTGAATTTTACTGATTTGGTTTGTAGATTTGTTCTCACTTAATTTGAATGTTTCTCCTTGTTTGGGAGATATCAATATAAGGGGTTCATAGGTAGTTTCATGTTTGTACATGTTGCAGTAGCATTATTACAAAGCAAAAACTGTTTACGACAACACTGGAGTTATATGTGATATATACTTTGTGAGTATATATATATACATATCTATATATGTGAGTATATATATATACCTTTTTTTTTTTAAACTTTAAAGGAGGAACTTCCCAATATTAAATTTGAGAAACAATGAACTAAGAAAAAAGAAAAATCTCTGGGGCCCACCCCCCTTTCTGACCTTCAGGGGCTCTAATTCCTAGAGAACAAGGTCAGACCTGCATGCCTGCGGGGTGCGGTCAGTCACCTTTGGAGGGAGAGGGACTTTGGGTGTGTTCTGCTGCTCTCTGCTGGCCATTCCGGGCTTGAAGAAGACTTTGGAGGGCGCTTTTGTTGACCTTTCCGAACCCTCAAGACCTAAACTGCATCCGTTTTATAAACAAGCGCTATCCCTGCTTGGGGATGAGGTCTGGATCAGGGATGGTGGAAGCCAGTGATTCCAGCGACTTAGGAGACCAAGGGGAGGCTGGAGAGGTGACATTCAATAGGTCCCCCTAGCAGCTTAACCAAGGGGAGGCTCCAGGGGCTTCACCCTGGCCTAAGCCATGCAGAGCCCTGCCTCAGTTCTTGGCTCTGCACCTGTTACAGGACCTTGGCCTTGGTGACTTAAGGCCTGCGCATTCATTCAGAGAAAAGAAGGTCCCCTCCCCAAGGAGCAAGTGCACAGACACTTCTGCTGCAACAGGAGGTCCCTTGCCTTCTTATAATAGATCCTTGTGATGGCTAAACCATTGAAGAGGAGAAGGGAACAGTCCTGAACCGAGGAGCATCCCCTTGGTACCTAGCAGACCCTTGGAGACCCAGCCCAGCCTTCTTCACTCCAGCCCCACCCTCTCCTGCCCAGTCACCTTTCCTCCTCTGGGCCCTGCAGTTCCTCCCGCCTGTTCTGTTCCATACTCAGTGAAGGCTAGGTGTGGACGCCAGGTCCTGGCTTATGGGGTATTTGACAGCAGCCTTTAAAGACTGTTTAAGTAGCGGGGGAGCAGGCTCTAAACCAATCACTGCAACACTGAGGGTCAGTGCGGGAGGGGGCCGCAGGGGGACTGCCTGGGCTCCTGCCCTGGAGAACCAGTAACCAGTCCCTCACAGCCTTGGGACAGCCCCTGGGTGCTGCCACAAACTTTTATCCTTCTGCATAAGTCAACTCCAGCCCCATCTTTTCCTACTTTTTCTCTCTCCCCAGCACTTGGTAGGCAGTCAGCACAGTGGCCTTCAGCATTTGCCCAGCTGGCACCTGGGAGATGCCCAGGTTGTGGAATGGATAAACTGATGGGTTGGGCCTGAAAGGGAGTTCTGGGGAGATGCTTTTTTGGACAGAGGCAGTGAGCAGGACAGAGAAGTTGGCCCTCTCCTCTTTCCAGGAGGCTAATAGCCCAGCCCTTCCTGTGTTGCTCACCCGTTATTTATTTGGGGACACAGAAAACTCAACAAAGGCTCCCCGACTTCATCCATCTAAGTTTGAGTCTTTCCAGTGGGAACCACCAGGCTGGGCCTCCCTGCCAGCAGCTGACAATCCCACAGAATTACTCTCACCTCCCTCTTGTCCCATAACCATACCCAATCCACTCAGCAGACACCAGCATCCCGGCGAGGAACCCAGCTTCCAGCATCCCCGAGAGGAACCCAGCTCCAAGAGGGAGCCTGAGCCAGAGGAGAGCTCCCTGCAAAGGCACTGGCTCTGTGCCCCTCTCCCCAGATGGCCCGTCTCCTAGTGATGGGTCCTCTTCTCTTCTCCTCCACCCTCAGACGCAGCCCACTCCCCATCGAGCTCGCAGACTCTGATTGAAGAAAACTTGGAAGCCATCGGGCCCAAAGTTCCTCTCCTAGTCTAGCTCTGAGGTTAACTCAGCCTCACATCCTTCCTCCAGGACTCACTGGCTGGGTGGCCTTGGGCAAATTACTTAACCTCTCTGAGCTTCATTTCCTCATCTCTAGAATGGAGCCCCTAATGGTACTTTCTCATACAGTCCTTGTGAGGACTGAAGGAGCCAATGTCTGGAACGTGCTTCACAAAGGGCTCAGCCCATCATGAGTGCTCAGGAAAGGGAATCATCCCACCATCCTCATCACTGCAAATTAATGAGGCTTGTTAACTGCCCAGCAGAGCCCCTACTGACTAATCCATGACATTCAACCCCCAAATGACCCCCACAGGGCTTGTCGCTGGGTGCACTGAGCAGGCCAGGGCAACTCCAACCCTGCACCCAGAGCTGTCCCAGCACCGCAGGGCCACGAAGGAACTTCATCCTTCAGGAAGAGGCAAGAGAAGACGAATCCGGGAAGCAATTAGTAAAAAATGCAAGATAGCTTAAAAGTACTAAACTGTTCACTGCAGACTAAATTATGTTAGTAAGAAGCACTTGTATGGCATTTTAGCATTTACCTAGGAATTGGAAATACATGATCTCAATCCTCAAAATAAACTAGCGAGGTAAGTGTTACAATGAGCAGATGAGGAAACTGAGGCTCACAGAGATGAAATGGCTTGTGTGTGGTCACACCGCCAGTTAGCGGACGACTCAGAAGGACAACTTCAACCTGATTCTAATTTCAATTGGTACCAGGATCCTTGCTTTTTCCATTGAGGGGGATGAGTGTGTATGTAGGTATGTATTTCTATGTGTGTGTGTGTGTCTGTCTGTGTTTGTGTGCCTGTGTATATGTTCACAGGGGTGGATGTTTCTTCAGACTTCATCTCATTCCTGTCCTCTCCTCCATTCAGCCCTAAGATTCCCTGTGCCCAGAATATCTTGTAGTTCATGTTTCATGTCTGTTTGTGCTGTGTCCAATGGCTTTATTCTGGGTCTCCTCTCACAGGTGCAGTGGGCTCTCAGAGTTGGATATCACTCCGAAGCCTCCAGAAGGTGAAGGGTTTTGTGACCCCCTGTAACTCCCAGCACTGCCCTGAGACCCTCAGAAATGCGGCAGCAAAGAATAAGGAACCACTGGCTCTGGCCGCATGCAGCAGGTGGGTGCCAGGGCCCGTGCAGAGACCTGGGAAGCAGGTTTGCAGCAGCCCCTGGTGGACCTCCTGGAGCATCATAGCCACGCTCCCAAATCCACCCGTGAAAGGGAGGGTGGAAGAGGACCCCGCGGAAGGGTCACGGCCTGGGGCAGGATGGAGAGTGGCGGGCCACAGCAGAATGGACCAGCTCCATGCAACATGATAAGATGAAAGTACACGTCAGACTTGAAGCCACATGCCTGGGTTCAAGTCCCAGCCCCTCTGCTCCCTTGCAGTACCACCCTGACAGGTTACCTCATCTCTAAAACATAGATGGTAGTAACACGTATTTCACAGCTTGCTTGTCACCATTAAATTAGTTGATTCTGGTGAAGTATTACCTGGCGTAGAGAGCGGGTCCTCTGAGTGCCGCATTATGACGTTCGTGGGCTCCAGGCACTTTTGCTTTCAAGGGGTTCTTCTACAAAAAATATTTAAAGTTCTTTTTTTACTAAACTGTTGGTATAAAGATGAATATAATCCAAGCCGGATTATATTCATTGTTTCTTTTGATAGAAATAAAAATATTTTCACGGGCCTCTAAGTATCTCATGACCCCGAAGTATCAGCCTGGTCTTGCCTAATAGATAAATGGGTCCTGGGGGCTCCATCAGGTATGCTCTTGTGGATGTTAAAGTGTCTCGGAAACTGTCAGGTGCTGACGGCTGTAAGGGTCACGGTCATTCCCTTAGGAATGCTCGCCCATCCTCCTGTGCGTCCAGCATTCCTGCCGTCTAGGTACTGAATGCCATGCTTCGATGTCAAGTTTTCCAGTAAGAGGATGCCCTCCGGCCTCTCCTTTCAGCCCCTGGGCATCAAGTAGATGCGGGGCTAGTGGTTCCGATGTGGAGGTAGCAGGCAGAGATCAAGCTGGGTGGCCCAGAAGCTCCTTTAGACTTCGGGGGCCGGGAAAGGCAGCGTTGGAGGCCAGATGCCCACTGGCTCCTTTCACACCTCAGAGTGGTAGTAACAGCGCCCTCTAGTGGCCAAAAATACCTCCACGCTGTGCCTGCCTTAACTGCCTTCCAGAGGGGCCCCCAGAGACCAGAGCCTCAGGCTTGTGTTGACGTACACATGTTTGCGTTTGTCTAACCCCCTCCCTCAATCTACATGAGATTTGAACCCAGTAGTATAACTAAATCCACAACTATCTGCCGTGTGTTCATGTGTACCCAAAGCCTAGATCACTGCTGTCCGTAGAAATACAACGTGAGACAAAGGCGAACCACATATATGACTTTAAACGTCCCTGGAAAAGGAAAAGGAAAAAGACGGAATTAATTTTGATAACGTGTTTTATTTAACTCAACACATCAAAATATCATCCTTTCAACAGGTCATCTGTATAAAATTATTAATGAGATAGTTTAGATTTTTTCATTGGAAGCCTTTGAAATCCAATACGTAGTTTACAGTTGTGACACATGTCAATCAGAACATTGAATTTTCATTGGAAATACTTATCTGTATTTTATGTACTTCATAAATTTCACAGCTGAAAAAGCAGATTCACATATCTGCATTTTTCCAATCATACCTAAAAGCTTTCCAATGACTGAATCAAGTAATAGTTTTGAAATTTAAATGTAAGTTAAACTTAAATAAAATTTAAAATTCAGTTCCTCAGTCAGACTATTGACATTGCAAGGGCTCCACAGTCACATATGGTTAGCGGCTCCTGAACTGGACAGTGCAGGCTAGATCATGAAAACAGTAGCAGGAAGAAAGCACGCCATTGTGAAAAAGCCTATCTCCCTGTGGAAGAGAATTATTCATACACTTAAAGCCTCTGGCCAAGGTTTCCCGAGTGAGAGGGTCGAAACTTACTTGGGGCATTTGTAAGGACTGAAGATGGCGCACGCACGCCCACAGATTTGCCTTTGAAGGTCTGGGGTAGGGGCCAGGACAGTGTATTTTGGATAAACCCAGGGACCACACTTTGAGAGTCATCGCACAGTATCTGGCAGATGTGCAATCACAGGGGAGCTACGCCCCTGGTTCCTGCTGGTTCTGGAATGTACCAGGCACTGTGTTCAACCAGGACTGCCAAAGACAGGCCCACAGGCGATCCACTGGAGAATGGGGAGAAAAGATAAATATAGGTGTTGTTATTATTCCTTCACGTCTATTTTAGCTCACGGTTTGTGTAGTTTATACATAATTTAGTACACATATGTTGGGAGAACATATTAAAAGATTTTTAATCAATAGGGGCAAATCCAAAAAGTTTTAGCCCTTGCATTAAACAATTGTTCCTATCTTCAAGGAGCTTAGAGACAGGAAGATAATGTCTCAAGTGGATAACCATAAAACAGGGCAGAAGGGAATACACAGCTTAAGGAAGCTACAGCTGGAGTTCTGCCAGAGTTAGGAAACAGGAGTCCTTATTTCCAGCTGCGATGACGAGTCAACAAGACACGGTAAACAAGTACCAGGAACCAAGACAAATAGCCTGTGAGATGGGACTTGTGGGTTCATCAAAGAAGGACAGTCTCCCAGAGGCAAGTGTAGGGTCAAAGGCGTGGAGAAGGGAGAGTGTCAGTCGTGTCTTCAGTGGAAAGAACAACTTGACTTCTCTGAAGCAGCGTGATTATGGAGGTACCTGTGGAAATGTAGGCATTTGGACTTTATTTAGTGTTTAAAGAGGGACCATTGCTTCTCGCTGCTATGATCATGACTTGGTTTAATAAGGATGGTGAACCTGGTACATGAGCAACAGGGCAACTTGACCTAGTTTGAGGCTCCTGCTTTCCTACATGGCCTGGATCTGGTGATCCTGAACCCCAGCTCCTGTGCCACCTGCCCTGCTGGCAACCTGGGGCAGCAGATGGATGAGGGACACCATGGTACCACCATCACCACCTGACAGGCACCAGGCTCTGCCCACAGGGCACGCAGAGTCACCATCGCACTGAACCTGCACTTTTATTCCAGGGATTCCCAACGTTTGACAGGGTGGAAGCCCTGTGGCCAAGACGTCTGGATCTGACCTGGGGACCAGATAAACTAAGGCTCAGAGCCAGACCTGTGGTAATGGAGGCAGCGGGCCCCACCTGCACAGGTTTTAGGATCTGGGGGTCCAAAATCTTGGAGCCAAGGTTGCCCCTGAGCCCCAGACCTTTCATTTGCAGGCCCTGAAAGTTTCACAGGAAGCAGTGATGTTCCTGCACTGTCTGGCCCTGGGGGTGCACCCCCAGCAATCATCCACGACTCCCTCCCCGCCTCCCCGGTGACCAGGCCCAACACGGCCAGCCAGCCACGGTGAGAGCACAGAGCAGCCAGGGAACAGCGCACAGCACACTGGCTCCAGACCCAGATGGGCAGCCCCCTGAGAAACTCCTGCACCTGCATGGGGAGAAAGTGCACCAGGCAGCTCAGAGGGGACACCTCCCAGGGTCCGAAGCATGGAGAGAAGGTGCACCAGGCAGCTCAGAGGGGACACCTCCCAGGGTCCGAAGCATGGAGAGAAGGTGCACCAGGCAGCTCAGAGGGGACACCTCCCAGGGTCCGAAGCCTAAAGGAAGCCTGGCTATGCCGGCGCGTTCCGGAAGCGCCCCCGCCGCTGCCGGCTCAGGTCCTCAATCAGGTCCCGAAGCATCCGCGTCCAGTCGTCACCCTTCCGCATCGGGGTACAGTGCGCCTCCTTGTGCTCCAGGGCGAGGATCTCCGCGGGAGTCTCCGGGGTCAGCCCGGCAGCCAGCACGGCCTCCGGGAACTTGGCTGCAGAGGCGGGAGCCAGACAACAGCGGGGAGGGCTGCGGAGGCAGGGCAGGTGGGAACAGGGGGCGGAAGACAGAAGACAGAGGGACAGGTACAGAACGAAGGCCAGGAGGGAGAAGGAACAGGGGAAGGGGAGAGGTAGGGTGCAGAGAAAGAGAGAGAGAAAAAGACGTGTTTGGTCCCTTGAACTTATCTCTGCAAGCAAATTTCTCCTCCTTGTTGGAGGCCCAGCTCCCCCTTCCAGGACCACAGTCTCAAGACAGTTCCACGCAGCACCCATCATGCTCATAAAAGCCATCTGTGGGACTTCCCTGGCGGTCCAGTGGTTAAGACTCTGTGCTTCCACTGCAGGGGGGCGTGGGTTCCATCCCTGGTCAGGGAACTAAGATCCCGCATGCAGCAAGGGGCAGCCAAAAAAAAAAAAATGTCCATTTGTTCACATTCCTCTCTCCCCTGCTTGGGGAAGAGGAGGACCCCTGAAAGCCAAGGGGTCCCCCCGACACACAGGCACCCACCACCTGTACCTGGGCTGCCTCCTGTCCACCTGCTGGTAATGGTAGCTCACAGCCACGGCCGAGTGAGGGCACAGCAAGTACTGGTTCTCTTCCCAGCAGCGGCCCATGGTCTGGGTGATGGCCTCGTCTGACACTGACTGAGAAATTACTGCCTCTGAAAGCTGACAGGTTTCAGGGTCAGAGGGGTGGGAATCAGGGCTGAGGGGAAGTGGGGAAAAGGGGAGAAAATTCCCACCACGTAACATAGCCAGATATGCACCAGAAACGCGAATGAAACGTTCAGATTGAATGGCTCAGATCCAGCTCAGAGAAAAATCTGGTTTCCCACGTTTCCCAGTTTCAAATGGATTCACTCAAGTTAAGGGAAGGATACCTTTGAGTTTCAGGTCAACACATTTAGTTAGAATTTGGCTCATGAATCAGCAAATTAGTGTATGTAGTCTTGTTCAACAACGGGACAGAACACAGGGTAAGGGCACTCAAGCCTTCCTGCTGCTTTGTTGTTGGCACGCCCCCTTCCTGTGGATGTGAGAATAGCTTCCCGTCAGTTCCCACCCAGCTCTTGTGGCACCTCCTTTAGGAAAACTCCCCACTACCTTTAGACGGAGGAAGACTCCCTTCTCAGTGCTCCCTTGGTGTAGATGGTTTATTTGATCATTCTCTGAAAATTCACTGCATGCTTACAATGTGCCCAAAACCCTGCATATACTCAACTGCAACCAATAGAGACCAGAGGGCATTATAAATTGTTTAGATACCTTCCTGACCCATTAGGGTTCACAGAAGACAGTGCATGCATTTTATTCATCTTTGTATCTCCAGCACCAAGCATAGCTCCTGACTCATGGTCAATATGTAATATGAATGAGTGAATGAATGAATGAATGAATGCTGCTTAAGCAGTTGGAATATCTTCTACATGTACAGCGGGGGAGAGAACGAAGAATTGGGGGATATGGTGTCTGTCTTCATGGAGCATCTCATTTACATGAGGAGAAGGACTGTGGATGTCAATACAAACCATTAAATAAGTTGAACTTTGGCTGTGTTACGGTCTGAATGTTTGTGTCCCTCCCAAGTTTATATGTTGAAGCCCTAATCCCAATATGATGGTATTTGGTGGTGGGGCCTTTGGGAGGTAATTAGGTCATGAGGGTGGAGCCCTCATGAATGGGATTAGCGTCTTTATAAGAAGAGGTCAGAGGGCTAGCTAAGTCTCCTTCCACATATGAGAAGGCAGACAACTGCAACCCAGAAGAGGGCCCTCACCAGAACTCAACCACGGCACCCTGACCTCAGTCCTCCAGTCTCCAGAACTGTGAGAAGTACATTTGTGTCGTTTCTAAGCCACCAGTCTGTGGTACTTTGTTATAGCAGTCCAAACTAACTAAGACAGGTTGCATCAAAAGAAGCATAGATTCCAGAAGACAGAAATTCCACTCCAGTCTGTGTGGGTGTATCTAGTTCTGGAGACAACCCTTTAAGATGGACATGGACCACTGAAAATTACGTCATGTAAGGGACAGCTAAAGGAAGGCTTAGCAGGTAAACGAAGATTCTCTTCAAGTATGGGAATCAGATGGCTCACCAGTGCACAAGCTAAGAAGTAACAGGTTCTAGCTTGATATAAAGAACTTCATAATGATTACAGCTGATGTGAGGTAGTGAGGTCCTAGGCACTGGAGATATACACAGTCTGGATGACGATTTGGTGGGAATGTGGCAGAGAAAATTAAAAGCAAATTCAACATATGAAATTCTTTTTTTATATTAAATAAGTTTTCATCGCCAGGTTACCTTAAAATAAAAGCAATCCCTCCCTAGGCTCCTACCCATCTGAGGAGATAAAATTTCTCCTTCTTTCTTTTTTTTTTTTTAAAAAAAAAGCTAATAGAACAATAGTCTCTGCTCATACTGGATGGGAAAAGTGGCTTCCAGTTATTATTGGAAATCAACAATAATAAATAAAAACAACAGTTAATATATTAAGCCCTATATTGCCAGGCAGTATACAAAGTTCTTCATGGGTATTATTTGACTTAAAATTCAACAATGCTATGAGGCAGGCATTCTCTTTATCCCCATTTTATAGATGAGGAAATTGAAGCATGGAATTTAAGAAACTGGTCCAAGGTCTCACAGCTGGCTTGGAGTTAAGCCCCACCTGACTCTAAACCAATAACCTCTACTGCCTCTCCTCATTCAACAAAGAAATCCACACGAAGTGACGGCAGGTGTGCCAGGCTCATAGTAGGTGCTCAAGAAACAAGCATCCCCTTTCCTCGAACAGATTTTCAAACCCCAAGTCTGGTCTTGTGGCTGCACCTTTCCCTTCTCCATGGTGTATGGGTGGTAACTGACCTTGCTGTGCAATTCCTTGGGTAGACTCACACCTCGGGTCCTTTCAAACTGCTCCATGAGGGCTCTCGTCACCTGGCTGTCAGAGCCAGAGAGCAGCCAGAAGATCCTCTCCATGTTGTATGGCACCTGGGCAGAAAGGTGGGGTCCCGAGGGTCACGCTGACCTCAGCCCTTGTCCACCTCCACCCAACCAACACCTGGGTCAGACCTGCACATCGCCTCACAGGCCCCACCTGAATGTCCATAGCTGATGCCAAGGTTGGTTTGACGGCCTCAGACAGAGAGAAGTCTCCCCGCTGGACGGTCCTGTGGATGATGTCATTGGAGTTCACTGCCACGACCAGGTGGATGGGCAGGCCCATCTTCTGAGCGATGAACCCAGCTTAAGAGAGGAGAACAATGGTCTCTTAGACACAACACCAAAAGCACAAACAACACAAGAAAAAAAAGTAGATAAATTGGACTTCATCAAAATTAAGAAGATTTTGTGCTTTTGGAAGCTTTTGTGCTTCAAAGGAGACTATCAAGAAAATGAAAAGACAACCCACAGAATAGGAAAAACTATTTGCAAATCATATACCTGACATAGAACTTGAAGCCAGAATATATAAAGATTTCTTACAACTCAACAATAAAAATAACCCAATTAAAAATTAGGCAAAGGACTTGAGTATATATGTCTCCAAAGAAGATATACAAATAGCCAATGAATACATGAAAAGATGCTCAACATCATTAGTCATCAGGAAAACACAAACCAAAACCCCAGTGACGTACCACTTCATACCCACTAGGATGGCTAGAATCAAAATGATAGATAATAACAAGTCTTGGTCAGGATGTGGAGAAACTGGAACCCCCCCCCCCCATACACTGTTGGCTGGAGTGTAAAATGGTGCAGCCACTTCAGAAAACAGTCCAGCAGTTTCTCAAAAAGTTAAGCACAGAGTTCCAATATGACCCAGAAATCCACTCCTAGTTTCTATATACTCAAGATAACTGAAAGCAGGGCCTAAGCACAAATGTTCATAGCAGCATTATTCATAACGACTAAAGAACGGAAACAATCCAAATGTGCATTAACTGATAAATGCATAAACACAATGTGCTATAGCTATACAATAGACTAGTATTCAGCCGTAAAAAGGAATAAAGTACTGATACATGCTACAACATAGATAAGCCTTGAAAACATTACACTAAGTGAAGGAAGGTCAGATATTGGATGATTCTATTTATATAAAATGTCCAGAATAGGAAAATCTATAGAGACGAAATAGATTAGTGGCTGCCTAAAGCTGGGAGGGATGAGGGGAAATGGGGAATGACTGCTAAAGGAACAGGACTTCCTTTTAGGGTGAGGAAAATGTTCTAAAACTGATTATGGTGATGGCCGCACAAATCTGTGTATACTAAAAACTATTAAGTTATATACTTGAAGTGGGTGAATTGTATGATATGTGAATCATAGAGCAATGAAGCTGTTACAAAAAAAAGAAGGAAAGAGTAGGAGAAGGTGACTGTGCCCTGACACTGTTCCCGTGCCAAACCCTGCCCCTAGGCAGGTACTGACACATGCTCGCCACCATTTGCAGAAGAGAAAATGGAGGTTCTGAGAAGTTGAAATGACCCATCCAAATGGGTCATCCAAATGACCCATCCAAAGCCTGCTAAGTGGCAGACTAAGGATTTGAACTAGGTCTGTCTAAGTCTAGAGCACATGCTGAGTCCCCTGACTCAGTCTCCTAGAACCAGCGTCCTCAGACTGCATCCCCTGGAAAGGGACTGAGGGGGCACAGAGCAGCCCTAATAGCGGTGTCTATTTGCATGGAACAAACAAGGAATTCCTCACCCTGAAAGATGGAAAGCCCAGAAAGGCAACATGGTTTGGGGGAAGGTTCCTACTGCCATGAATGGCTTATCTCTGATGAGTAGGTGAAAGGAGTTAAGGATAACCGCACCACCCAACATCACTCTTAATTTTGCAAAGCACATTCACAGTCTTATTTCACGTGATCCTCAGTAAACATCATGATATCCTTGTATGACAGAGGAGCGACGGAGGCTCAAGGGGTCCAGGGGCTTAAGGCCAAGCAGCTAGTTCCTGATGGAGCAGGGCTAGATCGGAGTCCCCTCTGCAAACACTGCTTTTGTGCCAGGCACTGCGGCAGATACTGGGACGTGTGCAGGTGGCATCACTCCCTGGAGGGTGATGCAAATGGGCAGCCATGGATGGGGAAGAAGGCTGAGCCATCCTCGTCTAACAGCCAGCCTGCCGTTCTTTCCATCCCTGCGTTAGCTGAAGTCAGGAAGCCTCCTGACTGCTAAGATACTTTCATGGTCTCACCTAAGCTGTCCTGGACGCCCATCAGAAGTGATGCCACTAACAGAACCATCAGAAAAAAAGGCATGCCAATCAGGAGGCATGCTTGTGAGGATTCAGGCTCTGGAGCCAGCCTGCCTGGGCTGCCATCCTGGCTCTGGGACTGACTGCTGTGTACCCAGGGGCAGGCTGACCAACTTCTCTGTGCCTCAGCGTCCTCGTTATAAAATGGAAATAATAGTATCGTCCCCCTCATAGGCGCATGTGAGGATTTAAGGGGTTAATACGAGAGAAGCACTTAGAGCAGTACCTGATGCATCGTCAGTGCTTGATAAATGTTAAGTATTATTATAGGAAATGATTTGAATGCCACGTAGCTCTATTGCTCTTGACCCTCATAAAGTTCACAGACACGCATAAAGAATCTTATTTCTGCGAGAGATATGATAAGTGTTCCAATCTTTGATAGCTGAGGAGCTGAATCTAAGAGACAAGACGTTTAGCGAGTAAAGGACAGAACTGGCACAGAAGCCTAAGTCCAGGACCCTTTCCACATCACACGGTCTCCAGGGAAAACACGCCGTGCCAGGCGAGCCCTTATCTTCAGAGCGGGCAGCTGGCTGGAGCTGGGAGGAAAGTCCACGTTCCTGGCAGAGGGCACTGCCAGCCGGGCCAGCGGCTGAACCTTGGCCTAGTCTCCCCACGTTCTGCTGAGCAAACACATCAGATCAGGCAGCCGGAGCACCTCGGGGTTAACCCATCCTCCTTCCCCTGTGGCAAGAGGCCAGGATGTCACCCCCAGGGAGTTGGGGCAAGTTTTCTGGAAGCTTCTTGTGTGTCATTTCCCATCACTTAGGACACAACCTTTATCCTCAACCAAAGTGCAGCTGGGAGGACGGGGACCACAGGCGTTTTCCTGGAAAGCCCATTTCTGCCCAGGGGTCTCCTTACCTGCGAGGCTACCGGCACCCCCCGATGGTACAACCACCTCCACGGGGGGCAGTGGGTGCAAGTCTAAGGTTGGTGCACACCGGAAATAAGCGAAGAAGTGGTGGGCCATTTGCACGAGGACCCGGGACCAGTTGATGGAATTCAGACTCATCAGACTGTGCTCCTTGACAAAGGCCACGTCGGCAAACACGGCCTTGATGGGCTCGTCCAGCTCATCGCTGTTCCCCTCCACTGTCAGAGGAGAGAGGAGAGGGAGTTATCATGAAGGACCCCCCGGGGGCCAGCACGTGCCCATAAGGTCAGCATGTACTCCTAGAGACCATCCTGCTGGGACCTTCACTCAAACCACGTCTCATATCCTTGGGGTCACATTTCCAATGTTTCTACCATTATCTAAAACGAAAGAAAATGTCAGCTTTCTGGGATATTGGGGGAGAATTCCTCTTTGTATTCCACGCCCTCTTCCCCGGTCTCCGGGGATGGTTTATCAGATTGTGAGATGGTGAGGGGCTGGGCTTTACTTCACCATCCTCCATCAGGGGCTGGAGGGAAAGAGTCGCTCTTCCCACGTGGGTCCCTAGTCCAAGTTGCATCCCTCAACCCAGCCCAACCAGCAATCCAGCCAATATTGTTCTCTTGTCTGAAACCTGGGTCTGTTTCTCCACTGGGTCCAGACTTGGAGGACGGTGGGAGAAGATTATCAGGGGAAATGCCAGAGTAGGCACCGAGGTTATTTTTTTTTAAAAATAAATTTGTTTATTTATTTATTTATGGCGGAGTTGGGTCTTTGTTGCTGCGCACGGGCTTTCTCTAGTTGCGGCGAGCGGGGGCTACTCTTCGTTGCCGTGCACGGGCTTCTCACCGCGGTGGCTTCTCTTGTTGCGGAGCACGGGCTCTAGGTGCTCGGGTTTGCGGCATGCGGGCTCAGTAGTTGTGGCTCGCGGGCTCTAGAGCACAGGCTCAGTGGTTGTGGCGCACGGGCTTAGTTGCTCCACGGCATGTGGGATCTTCCGGGACCAGGGCTCGAACCCGTGTCCCCTGCACTGGCAGGCGGATTCTTAACCACTGCGCCACCAGGGAAGGCCGGCACTGAGGTTACTATTCATTCCACCCTTCATCGTGTAGCAGTAATGAGGCTGCAGGACTGACTCCAGATCCATGTACAGGGGGGATATTTGCTGGGGTGCTAGGAAAAGATTCACTGTTTTTAAGAGAGAGCCACAGGAAGAGAGACTTGGTTACCTTCAGTAACCATCATATGCCACACGAGGAATGAGGCTGAATGGAAGATGGAGCAGAGAACCTGGTTCCAGTGAACCAGCCAGTCGGGAGCCTATCCCACCTCTAGACTTCCAGGGACATGAGCTGAAAAGTATCCCTGTTCAAGCCAGTCTGAGTTAGATTTTCTGTTACTCCCAACCAAAAACATCCCAAGTAATATGTAACTAGCTCTTGTTGATTATCCTGTGCTTAAGAAGAACCAAGTATACAATGTATATGGAAATGCATGACTTTAGAAAACATTAGTGTCCAACACACAGCAATCCAGGTGGCCCATCTCTACTCCCTGAGCTCACCAGCCCAACAGAAAACACATGCCCACCATTAGCTCCCAAACTAACACACATCCTCCTGGAAACCAAATCAGAAGATTCCAGAAAGGAAGGGAAGAATTTGAACAGTCCTGTTTTAGAAACAAAAGCTAATTCCTTTAAAGGTTCCTTTCTTATTTTCTTTCTTTCTTTCTTCTTTTTAAAATTTTTTGGCCATGCCACACAGCATGCGGGATCTTAGTTCCACAGCCAGGGTCGAACCCACGCCACCTATGCTGGAAGCGCGGAGTCTTAACCACTGGACCACCAGGGAAGTCCCTGCCACTATTTTTCAAATGTGCACCATTCTCCACCCCATGGTCAGGAACGGCGCTTCTACACATGCCCTTAGGTCAAAGCCTTCCAACATCTGTGGACAAGGAGAGAAGGGCGTAGGTGCAGATTAGAGGTACGAAAAGCTCTTCTCTGCTTTGATTCTAGGTAAAGACAGTCCTAGATTCATAAAGAGCAATTTTGGTGCTTAGGGTGTAACAGGGACACTCAGGAACCTGAACCTTGTACATGAAAATCTTGTCGTGACTGCAGGAAAATGCAGCCAGATATGGGTAATTCATTACTAAGGCTAATGTGTAAGGTTTTTGCCAACACCCGCCTCAGCTAAACCATAAACTTTTCAGTGGAATGTGTATGTGCTTGCTAAAGAAAAGAGTAGAAGGGGCTTTTTGTTTGCTCTTGAACAAACAGACAAAGAATATTCATGCTACTCCCATGGGTAAGGTTCGTTCTCACTGTTCTTTCGGTCCTTGACAAAATTGGTGTTCTATAAAAACATCACCTATGGGATTATAACAGGAGGCCAGGCCAGTTATAGAAGGAAGGTTTTCTGCCACCACATTTGCTGTCCTGCCAGGTGAGTGACCAAACTAAGCCAGGCCACCTGGACAGCTTGCCCAAGGCCACAGCGCACAAAACCTCACCAAGACCCCTACTGCTCATATTCCAACCCCTTCCTTGGGGCTACCTGGGGGGTCGCAGGGTGTCAGAGGTAGAAATAAAAAACAAAAAGTATGACTCCACTCCAACCCATCCCGCCTTCCTACACTCTTGAACTCCGTAATGATTAAACGCACTCAGAACAGATGGCCAGACATTAAGGAGATGGCTTTTTGCCTCTCTGCAAACACAAACGCTACGATTCGTGATGTGGCTCAGGAAGGGGGGTCACTAGCGATGGGTTCCACTGAGTAGCTTCTTATTTTAAATACTGAGACCTGCTAACCAAGTGCATAGCTTAGTTGATTCAACACTGCAAGGGAGGGCATGAGCTGCCAACACGCGACGGCACATTCTCTTAAAAATAATTATTAAACGTGTTTTTGCCATCTGAACTTCAGTGCCCTGGGACAGAACCCAAGTCAGTTGGCTCAGGCTATGACTCTGGGTAGCTGCCTGTAGATATGGACCAGCAGGGTGCACATGCAGGGAAGTGGCATTCTCTGGGGTACGATTTTCAACCTGCGCTTCCTCGGTTGTACTGTCAGTATTGGTTTACACACCTGTCACCTCCAGTAGTTTCTGAAACTGTGTAGCCACGAGCCTGCTCAGAGCTAAGTCAAGGCATACACCAACCTCTAAATATGCCTGATGAAGGAAGGGAAGGAGAGAGAAAGGGGAGGAGGAAGGATGGTCAGCTAGTCGATTGACTAGTTTTGTTCCAGCCCATCTCCCAAAACAGACCACTCGAGGCAAAGCCATGCTGTCCCCGGAGCCTCTGTCCCAGCACTCACCTCCAAACACGTGGACATTCTCTCTCAGCACTGTCGTCATCTGGAGCTCCTGAATCTTTGTGCAGCGACCTTTGGGCAGCAGAACAATGATGTCCACGTTCTCTGCCCCCTGAACACTCTCAATAGCAGCACTCCCTGTGTCCCCAGAAGTTCCTGGATGGGAAGAAGGAGGAACCCTCCTCTTTAGGACGAGGGAGATGGAGAAGGAAAGCAATGGCCCCTAAAGCACTGTCGTCAAGTGAGGCAATATCCTGGAGGGAAGGAACCCAGTACTTAATCTGGGGTCCTTGAACCTCCAAGGGGACCACGGATAGAAATCAGGGCATCTGTGAGCTTGGCACCATACCTTCTGTGTATTTTATGTATTTAAAATATTATTCTAAGAAGGTTCCACAGCTCCACCAGACTCAAAAGGGTCTGTGGCACAAGAAATTTTAAGAACCCTGCTCTATAAATTAGGAGGTTGGGATTACCATATACACATTATTACACATAAAATAGATAACCAACAAGGACCTACTGTAGAGCACAGGGAACTGTCCTCAGTATTTTGTAATACCCTATAAGGGAAAAAAATCTGAAAAAGAATAGATAGATAGATAGATAGTTAATGTGTAACTGAATCACTGTGCTGTACACACACGTACACACACACACACACACAGACACACTCACACACACAGTACTATAAATCAACCATACTTCAATTTAAGAAAAAGAACCCTGCTCTGGAAGAACCAATAACACACTCCCCGAGAGACATCAGTGGAGGGCATCCTGTGGGCGGACCCTGGCAAGCTGGGGCACGGTAGGGCTCCAGGGCGCACGGCCATGATGCATACCTACAACCACGGTGATGTGTTTCTTCCTCTTCTCCAGGAAGTACTGCAGGAACTGTGCTGTGCAGCACAGGGACAGGTCCTTAAACGCGTAGGTGACCCCATGCCACAGCTCCAGCACGTTCAGCCCATTCCTCAGTCTGGATAGATGGACCACCTCTTTGTGTCGGAATCTGCTGAAGGCTCGGTCGATCAGATCTGCGAGGGGAGAGAGGGGACGTTGGACGGTGATTAAAGGCCATTCTCTTGTCCCTCAAGTTCACTCTCAGTCTCTTTCCACTTTTACATTTGAAGTTTCTTTCCCTTGTTACCAGATAAAAAGACCAGAAGTTTTTATCATAAAGGATACTGTGTATGAGTATAATTGTTTAATCCTAGGAAAAATGTCTGAAAAGGCATGAACTAAACTGTTCATGGATTCCTCATAGTAATGGCCCCAGAGACCAGAATTGGTGCTGTAAGACTTTCATTTTTCACTTTATAAATTTCTTCATCGTTTGGATTTCTTGTGTGCATGTATTCCAATGAGATTCAATTAAACAACTGCATAAGAAACAAAGCAAATGTCTCATCTCTTCTAATTTTCCTTCCTAAAGACAGAGACTTGTTTGTTTTTGCGTTACTTAATCTCACGCTTGTGATGCCAGAAACTTGAGATGGTTTACTCAGAATCCTACCTAAGGCTAAGGTCATCTAGAGTAGTGTTTCTGAAACTTTAATTAGTGAACCAATCACCTGGGATCTTAAAATGCAGGTTTGGGGTCTGTAGGTCAGAGAAATCTGAGAATTCTAATATGTACCCAGGCAACACCATCAGTGCGGGTCGTCGAACTACATTTTGAGTCCTCTTCTTCTCAGCCCCAAACTCTCACCATTACATTGGGTCCACAGACCAGCAGCACTATTAGCATCTGGACATTTGATAGGAATGTAGAATTCTCAGGCCCACCCTAGACCTACTGAATCAGAACCTGCATTTTAAAGATATTCCCACAGAGAATCTGTAGGCACATAACAGTCTGAAATGAGCTGGACCAAAACACTCTCAAAGTCCCTTCTGGAATTACCATTAAAGGAGATAAAACAGCAATCTGAGGGTCTGGGTGTTTTATATGCAGGAAGGAAATACCCCACATTCAAGCATCTCAGGACAATAGCGAAATCCCTTGAAAGGGTTTTTAAAAAATAAGCAAAAAAAAAAAAAAAATCTCCGCAGACCACTTTGGCATTCATCTCACTGGAGGTGGGAGCTGGAATGAATTAACACTTTGGGGATATTTCCAATTCTGGGATTCCAGAGTCTGGAAAAAACTCCAAAGTTTCGGAAGTGTGGCTAGGGACCTCCTAGGGGTTAAATGCTGGATTTGCAACTCCATGGTGGGCTGGGCTGGCAGAAGAGTGAGATGGGAGAGTAGAAAGGCAGGGTCTGCTCACCATTTAAGTCATCTCTTGGAATGAGCTCGGGGCCAATGAAGAGGCTACACAGCTCCTTCACCAGGCTGGGGTAGGAGGCCACACTCCACTGACGCAGGGTGTCTCTGTCCAGCTGAGGCAGCTTCTCGGGCATGTAGAGGCCCCCATCCGGAGCATAGCCAGAGAAAAGGGCCCCTTCAAAGTCAACGCGTGGGGCCATCCCCCGAGTACTGACGTACCACATGATCCTGGAGGCCTGCAGAGAGAACAGTCCCAGAGACACTTGATCTCCAAGCTCAGTACCCCATGGGACAATGCTGAAGTACACCCAGCCCCTTCGGCTAGCCCCTGGGCCATGATCCATGGGAGGCTGGGGCTCTGTGAAATCTCAGGCCAGCTTCACCTGAGACTGCGCAAATCCTGACCTCTCCAATCAAAATGAGGTCATTCTACTGACCTACTGCCATGGGAGAGGGGGTACGGGAGCATTCTGGGAAAGGAGAACACTTGGTCCTCACTGATGAGGAAGAAGTCCTTGGGGTGGGGAGAAGGAATAACAATAATAAGGCACGTGTCATTTTGATACCCCCCTCGATAAGGAGAGGATGACACACTTGATTACACTCCCTTTTGAGAGATGTATCTACTTCTGCTAAAAAAATAATCATCACCTTCAATGGATTTTTAGCAATGCTGCCTATAACCTAATGGTTCTCCACTCTGGTAGTTTGTTGCAATCGGCCTGGGAGTGTTTAAAAAAAATACCCCTACTTGGGACTCTACCTGGATCAATTAAATTGAAATCTCTACATGAGGCTCCTTGGGTGGGTCTAATATGAAGCAAGGATGAAGAACAGGGTGGCCAACCCATCCCAGTTTGCCCGGGACTTTCCTAGTTTTACAACTGAAAGCCCCAAGTCCCAGGAAACCCCTCAGTCCCAGGAAAACTAGTACGGTTAGTCATCCCAGGTGAAAAGCAGTGCCCTACCTCTCAGCCCGATCCTAAAATAGTTAGAAGTGCTGATATGCTACTCTTACTATCATCTGGCCCGGCTAACTGGTCCTGTCCTGGCAGAACTCTGATTAGCATGGAAGGGGATAGGGTCCAAGGGCACCCCAGGCCTAACTCTGGTCACACTTCACATCAGTTAGGCTCCCAGGAGCCAAGAACCATGTTAAGCAGCTAGGCTTGAGCTCGGAACACCTTTCTCTGGATCATGGCTGTGAATTCTGATTATAAATCCCCACAACACCTCTGGGGATGAATTTGACTCTCAGTACCAGCTTGGACTTACTTCTGTGCCAGGGCCAGAGGGGAACCCCTGCCCTCTGGGGACAAAGCCACCTGAAGCCTTCCACCTATGAGAAAGGGAATGAGCTAGCATTGACCTGGAGGAATTCTGGTTCCCTAGACTGTGACTCTGACACAGAGAAGCCGTGGCAAGCATGAGGGCAGTCAGAGCTACAGAGAAGCGCGAAAGAAAATCTCTGCGGAATGCACTTTCCCGGGGCGCTGGTCTCCGTTCCCGTCTCCACCTGGCCCAGGAACAAAGGAGAGGGCCTGAGGCCGGGCTCTGCACATGTCAGTGGGAAGAAGTGGACTGATAAGCACACGGGCGGCTGTCTGCACCAGGAAGGGCCGCCGCCGCCGTTCTATCCAAAGACCCCAAGGGGCAGCCTTCTGAGGCCAACACGGCAAAGCTACATGCGCTATACACCACTGGGTTCAGTGTAAGGTAAACTGGAGAGAGAAGCCCTGAAGTAGAAGCCGCTGCCACAGGACGTGGAGAAGCTGACGAAAAAAATCAGGCACTCTGGTTGGACTGCTGTATGGGGGCTGTATGGGGGCTCCAAGCATCCGATGGGGACTGAACTAAGTGGCCTCTGGCGCACGATTTTATAATTTGCCCCTGTGACTCCGCTGGGCCGTATTCCAGAGTGGAGACAGGTCAGAAAAACTCTGACCAATAATCTGGATGAAAAGCAAGGGAAACAAGAGAGCGCCGCAAGACAAGGGAACGTTTCAAGAAGGGTTCCTCCAGGAGGCGAAGAGATTTCTGAGCAGGGGTGAGGCCATGGGGAAGACTTAAACCTCTGCGGCCGAACCCCTGGCAGCCGATCGCTGACCTCGTACTGCGGTCCCTGGGGTGGAGGCCCCGATACGCCCACGGCAGGCGCCGGCCTCTCCAAGGTCACTGGGCACCAGTCCTCCGGCTGGCCTGGTCTTGGGCCAAGACGGTTTTGATAAGGTCTTAGGGATAAGGCTCCACTCCCAGCCTCTGAAAACCCCGCAGACTTCTCAGTGTCGGGGCTCTCTGAGAATTGCAGAAATCCTGCCAAAAGTGCAAAGCATCGGGAACCCTCAACCCTCCCAGGTTCCTCCAAGTCGCAGCGCCCGAACTAGAAACTGAAGAAAGGGGTTAGGGAGGCCGATCCAGCCACGCTGAAATCGGGTTGAGCGAAAGTTCCAGAGCTCAAAAGTCTCGCTACCGATTACCCCGGAGAGGGTGCCGCGATCGCCGGAAGAGGACCCGGAAAGGGGACCGGGGGCCGGCGCGCTCGTGCTGGAGGCTCGGCAGCTGGGGCGCCCGCTCGCGGGGGGGCGGAACCCCAATCCCCGCCCCGGAATCGGCTGGTTGGGCGGGAGAGTGGGAGGGCTGCGGGGTCCGGGCCAGGCGCGTTTACCTGGTGCCAGGCTCTGGGAGTGGCGGGGCGCGGCCCGGGAGGCGGATCGGGCGCGGCGAGAGTGCCTGGTTCCGGACGTGCGCGCGGACGCGGGGGCAGCGGCCAGGCTTCCGGTCGGAGGATGAGCCGGGCCACCTGGCAGGGAGGCTAAAGGCGGAAGAAAGCGGCGTGGGAAGAGGTGGAGGAGGGAGCGACAGGGAATGCTAACGAGAGGGAAACCATTTATTCTTCACTTAGTTTGCTTTTCTGACACTTTGCTAAGCGCTTTATTCACAGTCTCTTAAATCTTCCTTGCAAGCCCCGGAAGCACCACATCGTCGCACGTTGCAGGGTAGAAAACTGAGCGCAAGATGCAAAGAAGAAAGGCCCTTATCGTCTCTGGGCTTCATGCTTCCCACCTACGAAAACTGGAAGGCTGACAAACTGTTTCTCAGACTAGGGTTAGTGAGTCAGGAATTCAGAATCCACAGGGATACGTGACATCGTATTGTAGGAAAACACTTTTTATTAAGCACAGATATATTCTAGGGTAAAATGCCTCCCCAATTTATTTTAAAGAAAAAAAGCAAGACGTGAAAAAATGCCTTCCAGATATAGCCAAATGCCCTTGGATTCACGTCCCTGCTCCTGGCACCCGACCCACTTAGATGGCAAAATTTGTGGAACTGGATGTGACAGATGCCGGATAAGGTTTAGACTTGCCTCTAGGCCGGGCTTGGTCACTGTAGGTGGTCCCACTGGGCGTCATGGGGATGGAGGGAATGGCCGCCCTCTGGTGTTGCCGTTACTTCTGCTATCTTCCTTCTATTTATGACATTCTCCTAAACCTGTGGTCTCTGCTTACTCAAGTTACCTGCCCTCCAAACTTTGGCCCACACATGGTGTCCACATCCATATAGGTCCACGCACCTGCCGTCGACTGACTCCAGTCTGAGTGGGTCTCAAATTCCTGAAAGAGAAAGTCTGACTGGTCACTGCTCAGCTTATAGATTGTTGTCATGGAATTCACACAGCGGCCAGAGGGGCCATTCCCAGAGAGGAATATAGGTCAGGCAGGGACCTGCAAAGAGTTTCCATCCCCTGCATCAAGTGTACTTAATAACTCAAAGGCCAGGGAAACTGAGACCCATGGCAAAAATGCCATAAGATGCCGCAGAGTTTGTTACAATACTCATAACCAACCAAGCATCTTCTATTGCTGGACCCTTCTTATATGTATGGTTCTTTTTTTTTTTTTTGGCCATGCGGGGCATGTGGGATCTTAGCTCCCCGACCAGGGATCAAACCCACCTCCCCAGCACTGGAAGGGCAAAGCCTTATCCACTGGACCACCAGGGAAGTCCCTGTATGGTTCTTACATGTATTAGTTATGCACCCTTTTCTATCATACTAAATAACTTCCTCCATTTCTGAATTTATTTGGAATAGCAGTAATTGTGCCTAATTAATAAGAATCAGATGCCTTTTAATGTTCTGATAACTGGTTTTACTCAATAACTTTTGATAAACTTGTAGAATACATTTGAGAAGGGTACAAACAGTTCTGCAGTTAATATTACTTCGTGTTGCTCTTTTTTCTATTTTCTTCATAGCATTTATTGCTCTCAGACTCATGTGCTTGTTGGCTGTCTTTCTCTCCTCTCTATTCTAATGGAAGCTCTGTGAGAGCATGGACCTTATTTGTTGTATCCACCACTCTCTCCCCTAGAACAGTTACTGGCCACACTCAGTACATGCTTATTGAATGAATGAATAAAATGCATAGAAAACAAAATTGACTTGTTTAAAATATTAGCCATCTGGATGTCGCTGGTAACTCATTTAGCAAAGGCCAGCCTACAAAAGTTGATTGGATACTAGTGTGAAATTCCATTACACTAGTGGTGGCCGTGTTAAACATCCCTGGAAAACAATGGTCAGCAAGAAAGTTTCAAGCTTCAGCATGAGAACGCACTTTTGCAGTTCCATACATTGAGAATTAGACAATCCGCATAGACTGAAGTGATCTTAAATGCAGAAAGGGAATCTGCAGGCTGTGAAACTTTCTTATTCCTCTGGGTGAGCCAAGCAAACATTTCCCGTGGCCCAAACCCGAATGTAGACCCTATTCTAAGAACCTTTTGATGGCGTTAGGTCAGTGGTTCTCACACTCCCAGGCGTATAAACATCATTTAGGCCTATGCTTCTCAAACTTTAATATACCAAAGCTTCACCTGAAGATTTTGTTAAATATGGATTTTAATTCAGTAGATCTGGGGTGGGACGTGAGATTCTGCATTTTTAGCAAGTTTCCAGGCGAGACCAATACTGCTGGTCTGAGAACCCCACTTTGAGTAGCAAGTACCTAAAAAGTTTGTTTTAAATGCAGATTCCCGGGTGCCATCTCTAAGATTCTGATTCAGAAAGTCAGTGGCAGGGACCCAGGAATCTTTATTTTTAACTAGTGCCCCAGGTGACTCTGATTCAAGTGATCCGTTGGCATATTTAGAGAAGTTTTGCATTTGACCATTGTAATAAAAAAAAACCCTCAAGAAGAACAAGGAGGGCTTTCCTGGTGGCGCAGTGGTTAAGAATCCGCCTGCCAGTGCAGGGGACACGGGTTCGATCCCTGGTCCGGGAAGATCCCACATGCCGCGGAGCAACTAAGTCCGTGCGCCACAACTACTGAGCCTGCACTCTAGCGCCTGCGAGCCACAACTACTGAGCCCAAGTGCTGCAGCTACTGAAGCCTGTGTGCCTAGAGCCCATGCTCCTCAAGAGAAGCCACCGCAATGAGAAGCCCGCACACCGCAACGAAGAGTAGCCCCTGCTCGCCACAACTAGAGAAAAACCCGCGCGCAGCAACAAAGAGCCAACACAGCCAAAAATAAATAAATAATAAAAGAAGAATAATGAGCTAACAAGCTGCCTTGAATAAAGGCAAAAATGGCAATAGGAAAAGGGTTTGGGGGGGATAGAGAGGAAGCTTTTTATGGGGACCCTCTCACGGGTGGTGAGGAAGATTGACTCAGGGTAATGCTCACCTTACAGTGCTTCCAAATGGCCTTTGGACACCTAAAAATGTCCAACACGGAAGTTCGTGAAGGGGTTAGTGACGTCATGAGCTCTTAGTATAGAGCATGACGTCCTTCATGACAATGAGCCTGGATTCATATTTCAGGAAATAATTGGAGCAACAGCTCCTTTTTAGAGGCAATTAGAAATATAAGAGCATTAACATTTAACTTCATCCCCTATACTCTCCTCCTCGCTCTGTCTGCTCGGGCCACAATGGTGCCCACCTCTTCCAACACGTGTCAAACATGGTGTCACTTCAGGTCTTTGCAACTGCTCTGTCCTCTGCCCAGAATGCTCTTCCTGTCGGTGCAGTCAGGTTTTTGCTCCAAGGTCTCCTAATGCGAAAGGGCTTCCAAAACCACTTGGTCTAAAACAGTACTTAGTTATCCTTCTACGCTGCTTTACTCTTCTCCATAAATATCACCACCAGACACTCTAGAGGGTCACTGGTTTCTCCTCACCATAATGGAAGCTCCCAGGAAAACAGGGAATCGTTCTGTTCCATTCTCTGATGTATCCCCTGTGCTCAGACAGTGCCTGTCATATAGTAAATGCCCCGTAAAGTATTTGCTTAAGGAAGACATTACTACAGCAACGGAGATGCTTTTCCCTCTCTCTACCCTGACACCTTCCCTTCCTCCTAGTCCCAAGGTTCTTACCAGCACCCTGACCGGGAATGAGAACAATCAGTTAACTCTTTTTAATAACTAATGCTGCGGGCTTCCCTGGTGGCGCAGTGGTCACGTGCCGCGGAGCAGCTGGGCCCGTGAGCCATGGCCGCTGGGCCTGCGCATCCAGAGCCTGTGCTCTGCAACGGGAGAGGCCACAGCAGTGAGAGGCCCGCGTACCGCAAAAAAATGCTGTTCTGAGTGTAGTTACTCTATTTTGTCTTTCTCAACAAATTATAGAAAGACAAAAGAGTAAGGTCAACATATAATAATTTATGACTTCAGGTGAGTTACAAAACGATAAGTGACCATCAAGTTGACACAGGTATTTTCCACGGCATGTGGATGACACAGGTCAGGGTCACAGAGAACAAGCCTGAGACAACATGGGACACGAGTCGGGCAGGTCAGTCATAGATCAAGCCGAGGCTGGGAGGAGAGGTTGACTGTCTAGGACAGGGGTCAGCAAACTATAGCCCACGGGCTAAATCTGGCCCACGGCCTGTTCTTCTGGATACAGTTTTACTGGAACCCAGTTGTGCCCATTCATCTGAGTACCGCCTGTGGCTGCTTTTGCACTAAGACAACAGAGTGGAGAGTCTGCACCATAGACCCTATGGCCCGTGTCAACTGAAAAAAACAATGCACAGAAGTTGAGAATTGTGTTTCATTCGGTGGACTGGCTGAAGACTTAAGCCCGGGAGGCAGCCTCTCAGATAGCTCTGAGGGACTGCTCTGAAGAGGTAAGGGAGAAGCCAGGATATATAGGAGTTTTTGCAACAAAGACCAGGTAGTCGGAACATTAAGAGATTACTATTAATTAAAGGAAACCAGACATCTCAAGTTAATGAATTGAGCGCTTTTCTATGTATGGGAAAAGGTAAAAGTCTGGGCTCATTGAAATCATTCCCTCGATGTGCACCGCAGCTGTCTAGGGACACTATCTTGCTTTTCTCCATCCTGAGTCCCCTCAGGGTGCACAGTGGGTGGAGGCTGCAGTGGCCAATGGCTTGATGGCCCCAACATCTTTTGTTTACTGATACGACAGGTGACATTTTTCACCCACACCCGCAAAGCCTAATATGTTTACTATCTGGCCTTTACAGAAAACGTTTGTCCACCATGGTCTAGCAGCTTCTTCCTAAGTAGAATGACAGGCAGACAGTGAAGGTGGGAAGTATTTGTCTGAATACTCTGTGGGAGACTCGGAACTTGTTGACC